TCCAAAATACAGCGTGCTTGTGTTTGCCTATAATGTAGTGTGGGCTGGCTCCGTTGATGAAACGTGGCTCCCATCCACATGCCTCCCGGTCTTATTCCTTCGGGTTTACACTGGATATGGGGTGCGTGTGTGGTGCAGCGCAAGCCTATATATATATATATATATATATATATATATATATATATATATATATATATATATATATATATAATCACACTGTTGTTTAGTTTTGGTGCCATCGGATTCATGTTGAAATAAGGAAACAGAATCGAAATAAGCGAAAAAGAACAGACATTTTTGCTAGTCTTCCACGCACAGTTTTAAGATTTTTATGTAGCGTATTTGCCATGTGACCAAGTATTTGCAAACAAGAACCACAAAACGATTTCTTCGACATTTTTCAAAGAAATTGGGGTTACGGTGACGTAAGCTGGCAAGACAGAATTCTGATAACAGAATTCCGAGATCTACGTGAAGTGACCTCACGAAATTTGATCCAGAAATGCAGTATGGAAGGTGAAACTGAATAGGACCAAAGTTTCCACGAAATATCCCTTATGTACCGATAAATTAACCAAGAGCCAATACTAACAACATACGCACTGGATAAGCCACCGGACGCTTTAGTTCTACTCCTGTACATTTGTAACATTAACATTCGTACTTCTACCCTAGTGATTGTCGTTTACACTTTTACTTTTGCTTAGATACCACGAGATATTGTTTATTGTGGATACCTGCCAGGCTGCATCTATGGGACAACTTGTCTACTCTCCCAACATTGTGACAGTTGGTAGTAGTGCCGTTGGCGAAGACTCCCTGTCTGTAAGTCCCATGCGCTCTTTCTACCCACTCTTGACCCTGCTCCAAAATGTGTGACTTTTGCATCCTGCTCTGCGTCTTCTATCACGATTCGGGCGTCGATGTTCAGTGCTTTCATTTACCTTATGTTATCCCATAGTAAGAACACCCAGAACTGTCTGCAATTCGGCCCCTTTATGTTGTATAGCAATGTTTACCTTACTTTCCCATAAAAGCTAAGCCAATTGTGTACCGATTCACCCGACCTTAAGAAGCTCTTGCGTCAAGGGCGAAACATTGCCATAATAAAACCCTACAAATACAGATTTGTTTTCCAAACCTTCTGAAATCATGAGATCTCAGTCAATTTCTAGCATATTCCGAGATATTGTATAGCGGTTCCCTGATGAAACCGCACACGAAAATTGCGGACAACAAAAGCGCACGCTGAATTTCGTACTTCTCTATCTATTACTCTTCGTGCTATCACAACACTGTTTTTGTCGGTCATCTATTGTCGCGCATTTTGAACTCCGAAAACTCCATTTTCCAGCTTCTTACTAGAGTACAAAATCACTGGGAAACCTATATTCTTGACGCTTTGTTTTGACTACTGACGCTCGGTGTTTTCCTCATTTGGGGATTGTGATGGAAGATGGGTCACTCTGCTCTTGTTGTGACTATTATCAGACTACGTACGAAGTCACAATGCCTCGTGTGCTGGTCGTACCTTCGTGCACTCGTGGTTTCCTCGCAGTTACTCTGCCGCATACATTTAAACCGGTGATTCACTTATCCTTTACTTTTAATTTTGATCCAACCATCCTGCGGTGCTTGTCAAGCACCCGCTTTTTTACTCGTGATGAATCCATTTCCATTGTGCATTACCCACAGCTGCTGCGTCCTTTCGGCCTACCTTTCCACTCACTTGGTCTCCAGTTTGTTCTTCGCCTACGGACACCGTATTTTCCTTCCTTTTAGCTTCATGTGGATCAAGGCATTGGTGTGTTTACATCCGATCGGTATTCTTACCACGCCGCGGAATTTCTGCGTTCCATTACACCAGATAGTGGACAGACAATGGACCAGTTTGTAAGCTTATTCATCTTTTTTGTTACCGTTATGCCTTATTCTCATCTCATATTATCTGGCTACCTCTTCGCAACGTCCACTTGCTTTCCTACCCGCCAGAAGGAATTTTCGCAGCGACTTTACCTTATTGCATTTAAATGTTGTACCACCAGGCATGGAATGTCTGCCGAAATACCCAGCCGGATTTTATACTGTCCACCACTCAGTTCACTTACGCATTCGTTTCTCATTGACCGATATCTTTAACTTCTTTCTCCTAACCCAGCATTATCATTATGCACATTAGGTAGAGGTAGGAGCACCACAGCCATGGTGTCACAATACAAGAGAACAAAAAAAACGCAACCCAGTGGTGTCAGCGGAGCCACCAGTAACGGATGAACATTGTTCCGGAGAGCTAGCGGCCGGCTGCTGTTCCGCTAAAAAGCTATATTATGCTCCAGGAATGAGGTCGTCGTTGGAAAGAGATTCTAAACGGGAGTGGAGGGATAGAGAAACTCACAACACACACGCCACTGAGGTCGGCTCTTAGTCATGGTCGGAGTTTCCTTGGTTTCATCCAAATTGCTGCGTGGCCGTTTGATCTTTTCAAGAATCTTTAACCTCTTTTATTCTATCTGCCAAATGTATGGCTAAAATCCGCGACCCTAATCTCACGGAGTAGTGCTTAAGGCCATCGTAGTTTAGGAAACTACGGGAAGTGAGACACTATGCTACAGCTAGAAATTTGGTTACGTTGTTTTTTGCCGTCCACCGTGGCTCAGTGGCCTTAGTCGTATGAGTAAAGTCACAATTTTTACTCCCTCAGGCGGCAAATGCAACATACACGGCGGACGATTCTCGAAAGGTTAAAGTGATCGTCTAACACTTTTCAAGGTACTTGTTAGCTGTCTGACTGAGTCTAATTATGATGATTTCAAGTTCTTCCATCCAAATCTCCTGATATTCCATTGTAACCAATACTCTGCCAGCCTACTTCCAATACTGCTGTAAGGTGATTGGCGACTTAAGCTGGGGAAGCCAGCCGTAGCTCGGAAGTGTCTTCTGCGCAGCTACACCTCACAGGTTAGTGATGGGTGCGCTATGCTTCATCACCCCCTAGTAACTCGGACATTTCAGTCGTCGTCCATTCTCAACTGGTCTTGACCACGGACTCTTAAAAGCGTGGTCGCTGATTCCAGCCTCGTATCCGGCAGATGAAACGCGCATTGTTTAAGATTCCTGGCTAATGTAACATTTTTCACAGTAGTACATGGAGTGCAAACTGGTTTCTGTTAGATCAGTTGTTCTCAACTTCGGGGTAATTACGCCCAAAGATTTCCGATGGAATTTTGCCTTGTAAGAGCATAAGTATAAGGTTTGAGTAATAAATCTGTTGCCAAACGAAATTAATAACAAAGGCAGCTGTGTCAAAACGTGTAACTAACTCCCTAATCACTATTAGCTAGCCATTAGTAACTAATCATTAGTGCGTGGTCTTTGAATTGGACCATTTCTGGTAATAAATTTTACAACCTTAAATACGAATACAAGCTTGCAAAACAGTGCAGCTAGATGGCGCCTCTATCAGTTCGCTGGTCGATCCTTGTTCGTTTGAGTCAGGTACTCGTTTGCTATGTCTCATTACAGAGCTAAGTGAACACTGAGATGGGAGTACACGTCAGCCGACCGGGTAGCGAGCGAATGTTTACAAGATTAAAGGGATACAACAGACGACTAATGTTCAGGAGGTATCGATATAGATTGGTGGGGGAAAGTTGTCATCCAGGAAGAACTTGGAAGACATAATTGGAATAAAAGAATCCAGTGACATTTCCTCCTGTTTGCCTAGAGGTATCCACACCAAAACAAAGAATCGAACAAACTGGGAGCACGGCTTACGATGTACATTGGTTGAAATCGCACCAATTACACCGGAAATTGTTGGAGCTAACCAACATCAACCGTCTCGTTAACGTACCTCACTAACTGATTTAATTAAAATTACCCAACTATAGGTATTTTCTTTATTTGATCAATAAAAAGTGATTAAAAATAGCGTTCATTTTCCGCAATTCAAGCGAAATTTTTCTGTGGGTAATTGTTTATAGTGAACCCGCTTTGTGGGTAACAGCCACAAAAAGGTTGAGAACCACTGCATTATATCTTCCCACCTTGTTTTGATCCCGAATTAAACCACTTAACTCATCCGCAAGACTTCCAGTCCGACCGATTTAAAGTTCAAAAGTCAAACGAGCTTGACATATGAACTGGTTAACCATCGCCAAATACTTGTACGATGGAGATGGACCTTGGCCATATTTACAGGTCACCCGATGGCGTTCGACTTCTAGGATAGAAAGGCCAGCTAGTAAAGTTAGCAGTGTCATTCCGACCCAGCCACTCTACAGGAGTTTGTGCGTCACTTGCAACCTTGGAATATGCCAAAATGTTCGAAATCAATGCAGTAATCGCCAGCCATCGCATAATTGCTGAAGTAACAGTTCTCCGGGAAATTCATACGTTCTCCCGGACATCTTTCCTGAGACGGCGGCCGCGTTGTATTATGAAAATCTGAGATTGACTCGCAGCTTACTGGACGACGTTCTGTGTCTGTCGGTCCATCGCCTCGGCTGAAATGCTCAAGAAGCTGGTCCTGGGATTCCTTCCTCGACTGACAATAGTCCTCCTTGGCTCCTTTGGTGATTTAAAGCCCTCTGCCCACATACCAAACGGGAGATCAACAGACCTTGCTTCTTCTGGCTAGCGAACTGCTGACCGTAGCTGGTTTGCATGGCGAACCTGGATCTTCGTCCCCACGACCACGTCATAAATGACATTCTCACGCCTTCTTTTTGGTCTTACCTGTCGTCCATTGTACGTGGCCTTCCCGGTAGTCACGTACTAATACTGACTGCCCCGGTTTTACTAATCATTTCTTCTCTCCGCGTTGCCGGTTATAGTCCTGTTCCATCGTGTGGTTTCCTTCTCCACTTGAGGGCTCTTAACGCGGTCGAATAACATCGAAGGACATACGCAGGTTTCTGTTCAACATAGCCTATGCTGCCAAATTCCCATCCGATGCTTGTGACTTCGGTGTGGATCGGTATAGGAAGAGAAACCAGTCTATTGCATCCTCTATACGCCCCTCTCTCCTTGCTTATAATGCGTTTGGATGTATCCACAACCCTCTTCGCCTGACCGTTCGATTGCGGATGGAATGGTGTAGATCAGACGTCTCTGGTGGCACAGCATATGCAGGACGCCGAGAACGCGGCCGAAGTAAATTGTGTTCCCTTGTATCACTAGTGTTTCCTGGGAGCCCAACCCGCTGAAGACTCCTCGCAACTTTAGGACCGCTGCGTTGGTTCTTGTGCTGTTCGTGAGAAACACTTCATGCTATTTGATTTAGGCGTCGACAACAATGAGAAGCCTTGGTCATTAATGTGACCTTTGAAGTTGGCGTGCACATGACACCATGGTTTCCTTGCTTTCTGCGTGAATGGAGCTTCTACTTCAATGGTGCAATTTCGGTTGTAGCACGGTTGCTGGAACGTTTTACCAGTTATTCCAACTGCTTGTCCATAAACGGCCAATACATATGATTTCTGGCAAGCTTGTTCATCCGGTTGATCCCATGATGCCCGGCATGAAAGTGCCGAAGTACGCGCTCTTGTGGTGTCTTTGGGACGACAACCTTTTCCGAAAAGTGCATGCCATTGTCTGCTGTGTAGGGTAAGTCTCTTCTCTGGTAGCACTACTGCAATTTGATTGAGGACCATAAACATGGCCAACTGATTCTGTGCAACTGTTTCACCTTCTTGGGTATTGGGTCACGAAGTATTTCGGTTCATGCAGTTTCTGTGGTAGGTCAGGTTAGGTGTCACTAACAAGGAATTTGGCCTCAAATTCCTGCTCAATTGTGGCCATGATCATGTTTTGTTCATCTTACTGATGAGATGTGACAGCACTTCCGCTTTGCCCATGGAAACCACTATTTGGGACCCAATCACAAAATCTTAGTTCAACAGAGGAATTGCCCAACGTTGGAAACGATTGCTGTATAGGCAAGGATGCCATTCTTCAAGCTAACAACGATTTGTGATCCGTCAATAGTCTGAAGCGTCGGCCACGTAGTATCTTGTGGAATTATGATTATGTTTATGATTATGCCCATTGCTTTTGTTAACCTCTTGGTTGCGTGAGCGATCGTTTTCTGGGATACATCTGGGTACATATGTGGGATGACTGCACCGATCCCATGGCTTCATGCATCTGTTGCGAGAATGAGTTCCTGAATTTGGTCGCCATGACAGGACAGGACAGGATCCAGGGACGAAATAAACTTTCGCTTAACCGTTTCATGTGCCAGTAAGCGAGAAGAGCTCCCAGCGTGATAATAAGATTCTTACGTTTACGGCAAGAAGTAAGAGCAAAAAAGTCACTGCATTTTCATGTATTTGCATAGGCTATTTTCATGTGGCTAGAGACTGAAATGGGTATTCACAAGAATTCGGGGAACAGGTCCAACCACATTTTATCCAGGCCTCATTTGTAGTTCTCTACCGTTTTACCTTCCAATAATAAGTTTGTTCCAACTAGGCACTACACGATTTGAGAAGAATTTAGCTCCAATATCGAGCCTAGATCTCTGCTGTTTCAACTTTAGACTATGACATCGCAAGTGGTCCGACCTAGCTGGTTCAAAGAGATCGGTTGACCTGAGGCCGCTGAGATCCTTCATGATCTTGAATGTCTCTATTAAATCCCCTCTCAATCTGCGTCTCCAACAGGTCTGAGGCCAACATTGACTTGACTCGTTCGAACGCAGTCTGGCACTGTTGAGTCCAGTTCCAGGCGTGGTGTTTGGTCAGCAGCTTGTTTAGCTGGGCACGTAGGTGCTGCATCTCAGGCAAAATGCGCTGTAGTGACTGTTTAAACTACGAATGGAGCGTAATGTTTGTAGCTCGGATGACAGAGCAATTTTCTTTATGGTTTCTATGTTCGCTGGATCTGGTCGA